AATCCTGATCACTTGAGAAGTTGAGAGATAAAGAACTTTCCTATTGCACATAAAAGCATTCAATTACACTCCTTCCCAATAACTTTCCTTCCACTTACTCTCCCGTCTTCCAGTCATTATAAAAAATTATAGGCATAGAAATAAGTAGAGAGAATATTATAAGAACTCTCATACCCATTACTCTGGGTCAGGAATCGCTAACTCACGTCAAGCTTTATTTTCTCCATTCTATCAAACTCTTCTGCCCTCACCCCAATTTTCTCCTGTGAGATACCAAACATCATATAATTTCAGTATAAGTGATTCGCACGGGGTCTTTTAATGCAAGGTGCATCTCTGTGTAACATAAACACTAAACGCTTTTCCAATCTTAAATATAGTGACAGCAATATCTAAATTATTCAGATTTTATTATTATTCAAATTTCCATTACCCTAGCATAGATAGATGATGGTAGATGATAGATAGATAGATAGATAGATAGATAGATAGATAGATAGACAGACAGATAGATGATAGATGGATGGATGGATGGATAGACAGACAGATAGACAGACTAAATACACAAACACACACAAATATGTGTTTTTTATGTTAATCCTCTTCAACCATAAATACATTTCCAAATAATCTTTCACAGAATCTCTTGTATTCCAAGATGTGTTAAGAGGTATTACATAACTTACTTACTCTAAGAGCTCTGCAGACATAGAAGCTATCTATATAAATATTTTCCATTTCACACCATAGAAACTGCTATGTCATTACACTATTTCCTCTACATCTTCCAGTGATTTCCGTGGAAAGAAATACTTAACGCAGTGAACCAGGCTGGGTTTTCAGCCTGGGACCTGCAGTCACTCAAGTCACTGCTGATAAATACCCTGAGCTTAGTTTAATCTCTGCTTTTTGATACCTTGGAGTCCTTAATAAGTCACTCATAAGTCATGCCTGGGCAGCAGAGGCCAGCAGGGCGGTGGTGCAAGCGCCTCTGTGTGGACGTGGTTGGCAGCTCTGAGTTCTGAGGCAGCGGCAGAAGCAGCACACGTACGTGCATAGCTGGGCTTTTGGTCACAGCAGGGACTGTGCATAAAATTCAGGGCGGCCTCATGGTGCAGATCCCCCTGAAACTTGGTCGAGATACTAGAATTATCAACAAGGGACAGAAGGGGTCTGCCAGGGGGGCAAACCCAGAATCTAAAGCGTGAGGTCAGCTGGGCTGTTTGTTCCCAGGACCTGATCTAGGGTCTCTGAAAATGCACTCTAAGAGCCAGGTCAGGGACCGACAGTGCCCAGAGAATCAACTTCATCAGTAAACGAGGACTAAATAAAACCACCCGTGGACCAGTGATAAAGCATATCAGAGTTATTAGAATTTTTTAAAAATAATTTTGACTCTTTTAAAAAATTATCCAGCAGTAATGGGATTTTTGTTTGTTTTCTTTTGGTTTTTCTTCTAGCTTTATTTTTATTATACTGATTTATTTACAAAGTTCAAATACATTGTTTTTCACATCAGGCCCTTCCCATTTCCTTCATACAGCCCCCATTAAATTGTGTGACGCTCTGATTAACACACACACACACCCCCCTAACCTCATCCCTCCTCTTTCACCCTCCTCTCCAGATCCTCATACTCACATACTCATTCTACACTCATGATTTTAGACAGTATTTGTCCTCACGGGACTGAATTTTCACGGAGGAAGATACCAACTGGCCAATGGACACATGAGGAAATGTTTAAAATCACTGGCAATAAGAGAAATGCAAATCAAAACCACAATGAGATACCATCTCATTCCTGTAGCAGTGGCAAAGTTTCACAGGACAGCAAGTAATAAATGTTGAAGAGGATGGGATGAGTTAGGAACTCTTAGACATCATTGATGGGATTGTAAATTGGTGCAACTACTCTGCAAAGTAGTTTGGTATTTCCTACCAAAAAAAATGAACATAGAAATTCCATATGACCCAGCTATTTCACTGCTTGGAATATAACCCAAGAAAATGAGAACTGAGGCTCAAACAGAGACTTGTATACTAGTGTTCATAGCAGCATTATTCACCATCACAAGATCATGGAAACAGCCCAGACGTCCCACCACAATTGAATGGATTGAGAAATTATGGTATATTTACACAATAGAATACTATGCAGTATGAAGAAGCACTGATTTTGTAAATTGCTACCTAACTTGGGAGAGACTAGAGAGTGAACTAACTCAGCAATACTGTTAAACACATTTCCCCAGGCTAAGAAATTCAAGCATAGTTTTAAGATGACTGGTTTTTTTCCTTTATTTTATCTAGTAAGGTGACTATTCTGATGCTTCAGATAAACTATATTAATAAATTGTTGGCTTGTAGTTGAAGACGCATTTCTTTAAATATCTCTCTCTCCCATAGCTGTCTAGACAAAGATGTCTCCTAGCTGCCTCTTCGGTGAATTTTGGAGGCTGTAAATGGCCAGGGAAGAGAGTCCTCACCTTTTGGTCTCTGAGCTACTGTAGCCTTGAGCTTCCACCAAGCCGTGGGCCTGGGTAGGCAGCCCCACACCCTGTGGGCTCGGCCAACAGAGCGCCCTCTCACTTGCACAGGAAATGTAGTTGTCTTTCCATGTAACTCTTCTTGCTTTTTATTTCTTAGCTGAATCAGCCTTTCTCTAGAAATTGATTCCTTCCGTTAGACACAGTAATAGGACTACTGAGTTCGAACATATGGCACTTACCGAGGTTATAAGTCAATGTTCTTACTATGATTCAATTGACTACAGTCTTCTTCTTACTTTATTAGACTTTAATCTCCATGAAAGCAGACCTATTACTTTTCTTTAAATTGTATTTTTAAAATCCCTCTTCACCATCCTATTCAATACTTAGCAGAGGGCTAAGCATTCAATATATTCTCAATAAGTACCAGGCAATAGATGAATAAATGACTGAACCAATAAAAAAATATAAATTACAACACACTGTGTCCGTTTCTGAAATTTTAGGCATTATAATCTATTGTTGTTATTAATTGTCCATGATACTTAAAACCAAATCCACAGTTATTGAGTCAAGTTTACTCAAAGTGACCCTATAAGATAGATAGAAATGTCGCACAGGGTTCCCAAGGGTATAATATTGACAGAAGTGGACTCTCGTGGTATTTTAATCCCACAAAGCAGCTGTAGATAATTCACTTAGTAGTCACGTGGTTAGAGCTATGGTGCCACTTGGCCATTTTTTCCTATTCTATCTAATAAAGTGAAGAATTTATTTAATGTTGCAATTACATGGTGTCATTAATGAACAGAGTGACTATCACTTTTAAAGTGGAATTTTTTTTAAACTGTGTAATCTAAAATTTTAAATAAAGGTACTCTGCTCCATCAACACACCCAATGAACTCATCCTCTTATAAATGTAAATAAGACATTAGTGACTTTTTTTTTCCCCTCCCAAAGTAACTGAAAGAAGGAAAATATTTCCTCTAGTCCTACAGGACGTGTTTCAATCACTGGCTACGATTTACTTTGGGGTCACAAACCAATTCTAAGTTTTCCTTAGCCAATTCTTTGACGTTTTCCTATGTATGACTAGCATAAAAAGCCTATGCACCGCTATAATAATGGAAAAACTGTTTAAAATGAGAACAAGAATGTTTATCTGGTAAAGAGAAAGAATTCAGTTTTTCCTCTTTTGTGTACAGAAATCTAATAGGTACTTTCATTTTTTTGCAGAGATCTTTTATCAATACATACTTTAAAATTCAAGCCTATTATTTCCTACCTTCCACTTTCTAATCTCTACTAAAGAAACTATTACATTTTTTTAAAAAAAGTTAGTTATAATGGAAATTAATACGGGTAAAAAGAAAAATGATATTGCCCCGCCACTGCATGTTGTTGACACCAAGTTGGCTGTCATTCATTGTGAACCTACATATAAATGTGCAAAACGTCACTCAGTCCTCTACTTATTGGTTCACACGTTTAAGTCTATTATTTTGGCTATCTCGCTGATGATTTCTCTTGGTTTTGCTGATTTTCTATCAAATTTTACATTTATCTACTTATTTATAGACGAACTCATTAGCTCACGTTATGATAATAGTAAAGCAGAATCTACCACCCAATTCTTTTTCACGTTAATGGTGCAAACCTATAAAAACAGAGACACGCTGTCCGTGATAGGTTAGACTCTGCGCCAACATGGACGGGTCATGATTTTAAGTGCTTGCTGGTTTGTTTGTTTAAAACAATAAAGGTCTGTCGTTTTGAGTCTTTTAACATAATGGATTCCCTAAACACACTGGGTCCCTTTTGGTATTTTCATCGACACGTTGGTAAAGGAAACTCCGGACTTGTAGAAGCAGGGAGGAGGCTGAAGCCAGTATTACCAAAAAGAAGGCTTTCATGATAGATGCAGAATTCTGACATTGAACAATTTTTATAAAAAGAGAATCTTTTATCTTTCCTATTCATGTGGCCTTGCTAGGCAATGGAAAATTATCTTTACAACTGTGTCAGACAGAGTAACTATGTTTTTAAAAAAATATAAGCATATGATAACAATTCTCTATATAAACTATTATGGCTTGATTTGGGGAGGTACAGTTTGTCTCATTGTCTATGAGATAAAAATACACTATTTTATTTTACCAGTATAGCCATTATAATAGTGTAACTGTGATTTTAAGGTTAAAAGAATGAAGAAAGGATGGTGCAGTCTACACATGGAATACTATCTTTTGAAATTCATCATGGTCTTAAATTGTATATAAACTGTAAATTAAAAAATATTCTTTTAATTTTTTTTCAATTCATACAGATTATATTGGTGATAAATACAGGTGGGTTTTTTTAGAAAAGGAATAAAATTTCTCTTATTCACGCCAATAAAAACTATTTAAAGTAATTATAAAGAATTCAAAGTATATATTGTATTATATACTATGTCAACATATAACAGGAGTTTGTTAAATAGTAATATACTCTTTTTCCTCAACAGAGAGGACAGTTATTACTGTCCCACCATACAAAATGGATGTGACAGTTGGTGAGAGCATAGTGCTTCCGTGTCAGGTGTCCCACGATCCTTCCATTGAAGTTGTATTTGTATGGTCCTTCAATGGAGATATTATAGACTTAAAAAAAGGAATTACTCATTTTGAAAGGATTGGAGGAGTAAGTTGCTGAATTTTTTATGTGCTTCGTGAAAGAAATAAAATCTTTTACATGAATCAACATCTTTCATAATTATTTTCTCCACTTTTATTTGCATGGATAATCACTGTGTCTCTGAAGCTGCATCTGGTTTGTCTTGTTTCATTTTGTTTTATGCCTTTCATCAAAATGTTTCTGTTCTATGTGCAATTACAAAATGGATAATATAAGAGATCAATACAAAAAAAGTACAACAGTACTGATACATAATTGAATTGAAAGGCTGTATTATATTTCATGTTTATCCAACCCTAAAATAGGACCTGCTGGTTGAGATCATGTTTTTATATTTTCACCTTAATATATGCAGGAATCTGTTGGCGATTTGATGATAAGGAATATTCAGTTAAGCCATTCAGGAAAATATATGTGCACAGTACAAACCACGCTAGAAATTTTATCTGCTGTAGCTGATATTATTGTTAGAGGTAAGAAAAAAAATATGGTTAAAATAAATGATCGCATAGTCTATTCACAGTGCTCACAGATTGATATCTAAATGCTAGCTCTTTATGAATCACATCATAATACAGAAATGACACAAAATTTCAGAGACTCTTTCATAAACTCCAGTAGGAACAAGGACACAAACATTGAATTCTCCCAATTTTCTTCATTTGTAAGACATAATTGGCCTCAGTAGGTAATGTCAGTTAGTTGTACCTTCCTCTTTAATAAACTGTCCTGGCCAGGGTAGGTAAATCCATGGGCTTCTCTAGTTCAAGTCAGTTGTATTGCCTTACTCTCTCTATGTTTGAAAACACAATGAGAGAAAATGTTTCTCAGCCTTAGAGACCAGCTTCCTCTCGCATAGTATTAAACCAGCTCATGACAGGCATTTTCTAATCTTCAAAGGAAACATTTCCAAATTTCTCTCTCACCATGTAAGTTCAATTAACAGGACTTTGTCTCTAATAATGTGCTATGAACAGCCTATATCCAATATTTTACTTCCTAGCTGTAACAAATTAGAATAAACTATCCTTACCCAAGTAATGGAATTCAATAACCTCCAATAACATAAAACATCTTTTTCAAGGCCCCCCAGGTCCCCCAGAGGCTGTGAGAGTGGAACATATTTCCAGCAGTGCTTGTCAACTCAGCTGGAGACCAGGCCCAGATAACAACAGTCCCATTCAAATATTTACTATCCAGACCCGAACACCCTTTTCTTTGGGTTGGCAGGCTGCTTCTACAGGTAAGTGATTCATGTGTTTTTACATCATTTCCTAAAACAGACAGCAGGTCTGTCTGTTTTTGACGAGAGTCACTGTAGTTCTTAAGTATCTCATTCTTTTCAGTTCCAGAGATTCTAAATGGTAAGACCTACAATGCAACTGTAGTTGGTTTGAGTCCTTGGGTGGAGTATGAATTCCGTGTTGTTGCTGGAAACAGCATTGGGATTGGAGAACCAAGTAAGCCATCAGAATTGTTACGGACCAAAGCATCAGGTGAGGAGTTACTGTCTTCTAGAAAGGTTGCCTAGTTGTGAAAAAAAACAAGTAAGAAGTATTTTTTTTTATTCTTGTACATATTTTTTTATTTTTTTAAAATTTATTTTATTATTTTGTGTGTGTACTGTCAAATCAGATCTAACTGGTACAGGAGGAGATTGCCCCTCCTTCTCCAGCAGAGCATTTGGTGGATTTGAACCACGTACCTCTGGGACTGCAGAGCAGTTTCTTGCCACTAGGCCACCAGAGCTCCCTGATTCTTGTATATTTTTTCTGCTCAAAGTCAGAGACAGTAAATCGGTGGCTCTCATTTTCATATTTTTGCATGCACAACACAAGCTAGAGTTTCCTTAAATTTTGCATTCAGTAAGAGATAATTACAGTTAGGCAGGCATGTCAAAATAAGAGTTGCTCATAACTGTGTATGCATTTCACTTATTTTCTAGCAAAAATCCATCTGTAGATACGTAGATGCAAATGAGTTCTGCATGTTTCATTAAAGTGTTGGATCCAACAATTGACTGAGGCTCTGTTGACGTAATCATCCATATATCTCTATCCATTTCTCAAACTCTGACCTCGTTGCAGCCATAGTATAAATTCTTCACATGTAAATTAGGTAAACCCTCAACTCACTCAACATTAGCTATCTGAACCACAGTACACAAGCAGAGCCTGGCTCAGGAATCATGATTTCTTAAGCTCTTTGCAACGGATTCTCTTTGTTCTACTTTAAGACTTTCATGTTGCAGGTGACATTTGATCTGCTTGCTGCATGTAGCTTGCAAAGTTCCCTTTCTTATTTAGTCACATAAATGAAAGAGCGCATTACTGTTTCTGGCTTAGCTGATCAAACACAGATGATTTCAATGAAGTGTGCACAACTAGTAGATGCCAACAACTCTTTTTCTAGAGCTAACCAATGATGCTATGGTATCCATTTGAATGCATAATGCATCAAATGTGTGCAGAGTAGGACTGTCCCATGCGGGCTTCAAGGCTGTGACCTCTCAGAAATGAAGAGCCCAGTTTATCTCCGGAGGTACCTGTGGGTGAACCCAAACCACCAAACATCACCTGTTGGGAGGCAAACACTTAAGCATTTATTAAGTCCCTTTACCCTGGGGCTTTGAAACTCATGTTGAAATTTTTGTCATGGCTGAAGAGAAGATGCTAGAAAAAAGCATATAGAATGTGCTTCAAGTGAAAGGGTAACAATTTGTTTTGAATCAGTAGATCATTTTCAAAATATTCAGTGAAGCAGATCGTAGTCCTTGCAGCATGCCAGCTCTCTTTCTTCCCTTGGCTGGCTGTCTACATCACTCTGTTGTTTGGCCCCTCACTAATTTTTGGTTTGGGGCAAATGGGGCCCTTTGGTTTCATGTAACTGACTGTTCTAAGAACTATGTTCTATAAGGTGTTATTATTATTTGTATATTGTTGTTGTTGTTGTTGATTGTTTATTGTCTTCAAGCCAAGCACTATTCGTACCGATGGCCATCAACAAAAGGCCTGAAGCCCCTCTACAACTACCAACATTCATTGAAGTTCATACAGTTTCCAGAGGCATATTGTTTAGGAAGTGGATACCATTCCCTCTTTCCATTATTTACTTCAAAGGAGGCTTCCAGAAGGTATCCCAGGGGAATAAAAAAAGGAAGTGTGTCTAGTATCTTTGAGGTCACCAAGTATGGTCTTTGTGTGTGCGCACTTGTGCGTGTTAAAAATTTGTTCTCATTTTTGAACTTGAACTTTTTATTGTGGTCTTGGTGGCCAGGGGTTTCCTTTAAAGGAGCCAGTGGTTCACACAGACCATTTTCCTCAGGGCTTAGTGCTTCCTTGACCTTCCATTGTCATCTTATGCTTCTTTGATCCTGGTAGGAAGATACAAATAGTTGTTTCTTGGATGTTGCTTGCAAGTTTTAAAACCCCAGGCGTCGTTCTTCAGACTAAGTTATGGAATATTATCCTGATAAACTGTTTTGTCAGCTGACAAAGATATTTCTCATATCAATATTCTTGACTTTCAAGTCTAGTGACTGATCTTGAAATAGCCTAACTGGATCTCCATGTACTCTATGAGTACATGAGTATACATATATTTATAAAGATGTGTGTAGAAACATCACACAATACCTACATACCAAGAACACTGCCATACAACCTCCCTCCTCAGGTTCACATATATTTATCCATGCATCTGCTTAACAATTGCTAGTTGAGGTTTCGATATGCTATAGGCCCTGCAGTAATTGTTTCTCTTTGTAGACCTCTCATTGTCCCTCTTTTCTTTGGTAACATTGTGCTGCCAACCCCTCACTGGATATTGCCTCTCCTTCACTAGGACTAAATCTTAGCTACCACTCAGCTCATGATTCACACTTCCTTGCCTTTCACTCTCCTGTAAGCATCAAATAAAAGCTGCTTTTTACATGTAAACCTATTCTTGTAATTTTGGTTTTACTTTTAATAATAGTAGTCTGGTTAGTAGTAGTTGAAGCTTGAGGCGAATGTTTACTGACCATTGGGTGTAAACTGATGGGATTAGGCCTTTTATTTAAAAAGCATTTGGTCACCAGTTTGAGCCTGGAATCCATTATCACATTTGACACATCAATGTCACAGTGTTTAGCACCACAGCAACCACGAACTCTGTACAGCAAATGGACAGGGCAGTGCTATACCACTTAGAAGAATGTTTGACCAAAAACAATGAAAACCAGGCCTGAGGGCTGGAGATTAAATCACCCACCTTTGCCTTGGTAGAATCACTATCCACTATGTCAACAGAGTTCTCTCATTGTTGTTATTGTTGTTAAATACCATTGAGTCGTAGACGACTCATAGCAGCCCTATGAATAAAAGACCTGAACACTTGTATAATTTCATTGTTTCTCCAAGTTCATAGGGTTTCCAGAGGCAGGTTATTTCAGAAGTGGATGTCACTCCTCCAAACTTATTTTAATCGGCAGCTCCACCAAACACTGTCCAACTATAATTATTCACTTAAATTCCCATTCTATAGAATTACCCATATTAATAAAATTCAGATACTACATTTGCCATTATTTCAGGATAAACAATGGGTTTTTTTTAACACTTCTGCCTCTGTAATGTCAAGCCCTACATTGATCATTTATTATAACATCCTCCCACTACTCACAATTATAATAAATTTTGCATTACCATAGTCCTCACAAGACTATTGTGGAACACATCTCTTTATCTAATTTATCTGTGTTTGGAATGGTCAACCCTAGCTTTAATCTAAGAATCTTGTAGCTTGATAGACGAAAGCTTCTTGACTTTTTGGGTAAAATACCCAAAGGAAACTCCTTGTCTTGAGAGATTTGATGTTGAAATATGGAGGTTTGAGCAAAAATTTACTTAAGTCCGTATTTTTATAAAATTACATTTACATGTCACAATAGCCTACTGACTAACAAAAAGAAAAATAATCTTAGTTTGTTTATATTTTAAAAAAGAATTAATGACTCCACTGCCACAGTGACTTGTTTACAGCACAACTGTATAATTAGGCACTGAATCAACAGTGTCACTGATACCATCTGAACGGAACATCATTTTGCCAATTAGTAGATGATGCATAATAATGTCAAACACATGATGCTACTTGATTTTTAATTAATTCTGGAACTAGGGTGCCCATGTATCAAACATGGTTGTGTCCTCTCTTAGACATTTGGATATATGCAAACATGACTTATGTCTATTAAAAATGCACACTCTGTCACATGCCCCTGCATGAGGTTTTGAAAGACGAAGTCCAAAAACAAGGTCCACAGTGAAGGTGGATCCCAGTAATTGTCAACAGAGTAACTGTTTCTCTTTGTTGTTTTCAGTCCCAGTCGTGGCACCAACAAACATCCATGGCGGTGGAGGAAGTAGGTCTGAACTTGTCATTACATGGGAGGTAAATTTCTACTCAACTGAGTGATTTTGAAGGACAAAGGCTTAGCTGGCCAGGAAAAATAACGCAAAACAAAGCTGATTTTCCCCCATTAACTGTTGAGCTTACATAAATATACATTGTATGGAGAGAGCCCTGCTGATAAATTATTTAGACTAGGTGTTAGAAATTTCTCTTATTTCTATTAGAGAGAACAGTTTTCTTCCCAAATATAGAAAAACAAGTTCAATGTCTTTTGAGGGTGGGTCAGTAGCAGTTTTATTATGACTTGTTAAACTAGAGACTGTTTTATTTACTAGCTGTGTAGCTATTTTATTGCAAATGGCTTAGACCCAGTAAAGTGCAGCCAGAAAACAATTGTTTCCTCACTGTTTCGCTTTTAAATCTTGTCAACATCCTTTATATAATACTTACACAGGTGTTAGGTTGTTTTGCTGGATAACATTTCACCTAAATTATTTAATATCTTTCTTTAAGATGCAGGGCAAGTCATACCTTTGTTAGTAATTTTAGATCTCAGCTGGAAGTGCTTAAAGATGCCTGTTTCACTGCCTCGCATGCTATTTAGGGTTGTTTTAGCATGCGCTATAGCTTTCATAATGTCAGAGCAACCAATCCTTAGCTATTCTTATATGACATGTAATGAATCATGTAATGCGAGCATATAACATCATGGCCACCAGACAATCTAATATCTAGAACAATGGATCGCAAAGAAGAAGAGAGAGGGCAGTCCCTACCCTTTCCCACCAGGGAAGCAATAGAGGGTGTCTGGAGACACCACTGGTTGTCACATCTGAGTGGAGGTGCTGTCGATACGTGGAAAGATTCCAGTGATTCTGCCAAATGTGCAGGGGTTTATAGCAACCTCCTGCACACAGAGTGCTGTTGCCGATGTGGGTGCTGTGGAATTGGCTCTGATCACAAAGACCTTATGTCCAATGGAATGAACAATGTCCAATCTTGTGTCATCCTCACAGCCTTGGCTATGCTTGGCCCCACTGTTGCAACCACTATGTCGGCTCATGTTGTACTAGATCTTCTATTTTGCTAAACTCTTCTGTACAAAAGCATGCTGTCCTTCAGGAACTAGCCTCTCCTGATAACACGGCCAAGGTTCACAAGCCAAAGTCTCAGCAGCCTTGAGAAACATCTCACGCAAAATTCCAGAAGCATTAATGGGAATAGTAGTGTTCATTGCATCTATAAATGAATTTACAATTGAGAACAATACTTGATAGATGAACAGATAGGTAGATTCTCTTTTGTTCCACACAAAACTCATATAACGTAACAATAGTATTATTCAGTCTTCTTCCTGTGAGAGGACGCTGCCACACAGATTTTTTTCCAGAAGGTTTTAAATGACAGAGCTAAAAATCAATATGATGAAGCTTCCTTGATCATTTCCGTCTGGGTGTCTAGTTACATGTGGACACTGAGGGCTGAGATCAGTGCCTGGAATAAAATTCAACTTTAGGGAGTGCCTCTCAGATGGATAGAAAGATGTGGGTGAAGGGGGATGGATGGATGCATGGATGGATGGATGGATGGGGGGAGAGAGAGAGAGGTGATGCTCTCAGAGGGCTGAGGGAGAGGAAGGTCTCTTCCTCAATCACATGTAGAATTAAGTGCTGCACTGGGCCCTCCATACTTTCCAGACTTCACAACAGTTGCAGGAGATAGGACCTACCAGATGTTGAGAAAGAAGCTGAAGCCGGTGAATGTGACTGGAGAGGGTCAAGCAGTATGTGTGTGCAGGCTCCCTCTTCCCTCTCCACACCCATGTTTACAAACGTGTTAACAGCCTGTAGCCAATAACTCATCACAACCTTACATGTGATAGACTAAGGCTGCTCCCTGGGGCCTTGTTGGCTGTAATCTCTTTGGGAGCACACACCATCTTTATCTCCAATGGTGTCACTGCTTAGATTAAACGTAGGCTAGTAGTTGTGTACAAACTGACTTTGACGAAGCTGTGGATGGTGGCACAGTCTGTAATGTAACAGACTGCTAAGCAAAACGTCAGCAGTTTGAATCTACCAGCTGCTCCTCAAGAGACAGACGCACAGTCACGATAAGCAAGAACTGAATTCACTTGACAGCGGCGTGTTTTTGCTTTGGGGGAGTGGTTTCTGTACTCTAATTCCACTTTTCCTTAGCAATCTGATCTTGCAAGGTAAGGCAAGAGTTCTTTTTTCTGCCTTAAGCAGCAAGTTATGTAACATGTTTTTATTCCTCCACATGCATGTTACACCCCAACTGGTGACTCTCAGAAAAGTCTCCAAGACAACAGTTCTAGGTGGTGCCGAGTAGGTTCAGGTGTCAGTATTCTTCTGAGACAAATACAATTGCTGTCATTTTGGTGCACAGGGAGCACTGCCTGAATTTATTTGTCAACCGAGAATTTGTATTTCCTTCAATCACAAGTATTTTATAATTGTCAGAAATTGATATTTTTCATCTAAAACCTTCAACTATTTATCTATCTTTAAGTGAAATCATGTTCATTGTCATATTCCAATAAAAATGTTGTTTTTGAATGAGTAATTAAAATAGGGTCAATGTCCGTATCTCTAGCTATAAAGGAACTAATCACTGAACATTTATAAGAGTTCTGTGAAACGGTTTTGCAAATACTTAGTGATGGATAACATTCTGCTCAAGTCAATTCCAGAAGAACTACAAAACGGTGAAGGATTTGGCTATATCATCATGCTTCGACCAGTTGGATCAGCAACGTGGGTGAAGGAAAGAGTGCTTTCTGTGGAATCATCCAAGTTCATTTACAGAAATGCAAGCATCACCCCTCTCTCTCCATTTGAAGTCAAAGTGGGAGTATATAATAACGAAGGTGAAGGGTCACTGAGCACTGTGTCCATTGTCTACTCAGGGGAAGATGGTAAGTTGAGTTCAGCTCTAGAATGCTCTTCTCTGAGACACTATCACATCTCCAATTCACTTTGACATGAACCATTCTGCTAAAGATGGTTGTATCTGTCTCTGGATGGTAGAACCTCAACTAGCCCCAAGAGGAACTATGGTCCAGAGTGTCTCTGCTTCTGAAATGGAGGTTTCCTGGAATGCCATTGACTGGAATAGAAATACTGGTCGAGTACTGGGCTATGAGGTAATCGATATTTTCTTTTACCTTTATCGTGTAACTGATTGCACAAGGCTACCTGGTCAGCCCCATCTGTAATCGTACTTGGTCCTTAGCTAAAAGGAGACTTAGAGATCTTTCCACTAATCTGAAATAAGCACATTCATAAATGGCAGGCATTTTAAAGGGATTTAATTTTTTTAAAAAAATATCTTTTTAAAGGTTTACTCATTAATTTCTTCGAATTAGAAGAATGACTTTTAATCTTAAATGATCGTAAGTAAACCATCGAGTAATTTCAAATGGAAACCTACTTTGTGAACTGGAGAGAGATTTGAAAAGTTATAATGATATTAGAAGGAGCAGGGTACAGTTAAGTGATAATAGTAAAGTCGAGATTATCCTAATCCTGTTCTTTATAGTCCACTAAATAAAATACTTATGTAATAATACTAATAATATTTAGTAAATACTTAAGTAATACTTGGTAAATATATAAATAACAAAAAAATTCTAAATAATGAAGCATGACAATTGTGGCTGTTCCTTCTTAGTTAAATGAGGAAAGTTATTGATCTCTCCCTGTTCCTTTCGCTTGCAGAATGAATAGCATAAACGAATAGTGTGATTAGTGTATTTTGAGGGTGCGGGGAAATAGGATTCTACAGCTCCTTAATTTTAGTGCACACGTTGTCACTCTCTGATTCAAACACATTCAACGATTCTATCTGTTAGAGAATCTGCACTCTCTGGTGCTTATCTAAGTGGCCATGTCTATCTTTCTCCTTTAACTCTTTCCTAATATCTATCCAACATTGTACTTCATCAAACTCATATATTTTATTAAAATATTACTTTTCCAAGAATCTTTTTCAAACATCTAAACTTAAATAGATTACAATGACAGGCATCATGCTGTACTCCTTTGTTCTCTGCAGTATACCTAAAGCAGTGGTAGCGCACAGAAAGATATCGTTCTGGATGGAATAATTATGCCGAGATCCAAAGAACTCTGGAAGAAACATGAATAGCAAAGAGATAGATAGATAGATAGATAGATAGATAGATAGATAGATAGATAGATAGATATAGATGATAGAGATATAGAGATAGAGATGATAGAGATAGATGACAGAGATAGAGATACAGATACTGATATAGATATACATATACATATAATTTATTGATAATATGAATGTTGTTTTGTTTTGGTCTGACATTTACTTTTTGTTAAGCTGTTAATTTTGATGTAACTTTTAGATGTTGTTATGTGCCGCCAAGTCACTTGTGACTCATAGTGACCCTACTATGTACAACAGCTCCGAACCCTACTCTAACCTGCCAACCTTGTTGTTTCTAACACATCTACCCCTATTACCTCAGTCACTGAATCAATCCATCTCATTAAGGGTCTTCCTCTCCCGCACTTTCCCTCCACTCTCCCAAACTTGACATCCCTCTGCAAGGACCTGTCCCTCCTTGCAACATGTCCAAAGTATGTCAGACGAAGCTTCAGAATCTTCAGGGAGCAACTTGGTTTCACTCTCTCAATAATGTAAAATGGACAGTTCTTAAAAACTATATTACAACTTTTTATTTACCTACTTATATAAATATGACTCCATTTTTTCTTTTTACTTTATCTCAATGGCACATAACATCTTTCTTATTTATACGATAGTCTAAATAATTATGCTTTTCTTTCCTTGTAGCTTTATTTGATTAATAGTCGTTAGGAAACAATGACTTGGTTGTTCTTTACCCTTGATGATTAGGTGTTGTACTGGACAGACGACTCCAAAGAATCCATGATTGGTAAAACTAGAGTCAGTGGAAATGTTACAGCCAAAAACATCACAGGCTTGAAAGCGAATACAGTGTACTTTGCTTCTGTGAGAGCTTACAACACTGCTGGGACAGGGCCTTCCAGTGCTCCAGTCAATGTCACCACTAAGAAGTCTCGTAAGTGTACCTCACCCTCTATGTACCAAGACTTATCTGTGAATATAAATATATGTCTCTGCTTTATCTTCCTTTTTTTTTGTTTCTTCCTTATCAATGTATTTCCTAACTTGTGTGGTTAGTTGATTTATCCCTTAGTTATAAATAATTGTTAAAGTCTGTTGACAATAAAAATAAATTGCTTTGTTCTTGTTAGAGACGTGAAAGGAGGGATGACTTGTGTTTGACAGCCTGAAGATGTATTTTTGGTTTTTTGTTTGTTTGTTTAGTTCAGGCTCTAATTCCCTCCACCAACCTGGGTTCAAAAGTTGGACTTTGATTTTTTGAGATATTAGATGGCTATTTAAACTTTCAGAGTCTTTGTTTCCTCTGTGTAAAGTGAGGAAAAAGTAGAATCTATGGATATGTTAATAGGTTTTTAATCCCCTTCAGGATTAAAAAGTGCTCAGAAAATGTGAGTTGTTGTTATTAGAACTGTAACTCTTATGCAGTTCTGGAGTTCTGGATTGTACCCCAATGTAATTCCAGACCAGTGAGATGGCTGGATCTTTTTTCCATGACTTCTTATCTTCATAGTGTACCTGCAAAAAGCCCCAAGCATAACTTTTCTGCTTCTTTTTGTTTCCTTACAAGTTAGCCAAGGGCCTTTCACATAGGCAGCATCTTCCAAATAAAAGCTCATTGACGGGTAATTGGCTGCTCTTGAATTCCAGACGAAGAGTTGTGCACAGACATCTAGTAATATGGAGAACAGTAATAGAGAGCATCTGATTATGTATGTCTTAGTAATAGCTTCAAAATACATGCTTTATCAGTGCATGAGTTTTCTCTATTATTCAGACATTGTAGACCACTACTCTCTACATGTCATCACTAAGAAAATCTTTCTGTGTACTCCTTAAAAGTGAGTTCTTCCTACTATTGTGTAACCATAACAAAATAGAAGACTAGGATTTCCTATGCAAGCAAAGAAAGAAGTTTTTATAGAAAAGATTTTGTCAAGTGAGCCATGGAGGAACAAGGCAGCACTAGCCCATGACTTCTGGAACAAAGAAGGAAGTGAATCTAAGGCTCTGGAGGAGAAAAAGTATTATGTTTCTCTACGGTAGGATGGAATTTTCAGAAGAGATAACCTTTTGTTGTTGTTATGTCGCACCGAGTGGCCTGTAACTCATAGCCACCCTATGTACAACAGCTCTCAACCCCGCTCTATCGTGTGCCAATCTTATTGTCTCTGACATACCTACCCCCATTCCCCCAGGGACTGGGTCAGTCCATTGAGGGTCTTCCTCTCCGGTGGTGTCCCTTCACCCTCCCAAGCATGACACCACTCTCCCAAGACTGGTCCCACCTTGCAACATGTCCAAACTATGTTAGATGAAACTTCAGAATCCTTGCCTCCAAGGAGCAGCCTGACTTCAGTCCACGATATATTCAATACTCTTCTCCAGCACCACAGCTCAAAGGCATCAATTCTCTTTCCATCATCCCTAGTCATTGTCCAATTTTCAGATGCATAATAAGTAACTGGAAAGACTTGAAATGGAATGGCTTGAACTGGGTGGATCTTAGTCTTTAAACTGACAAAGGTGTTCCCTAGAACCTCAGAGAGATTGAAAATATTACTTATGAATGCTGTTTTTATATTTCCTTTATTTGGAGAAAGGACAAGAGATTGAGAGAGTTTTGGGGGGGAAATTAAGGGATATTAAAGTTTTCTCCCTTTTATGTAGATTTTTGTGTATAGCAAGACTCTAAATAAATCTGTAATTACAGAGTAGCTTATTCAATTACCCTTACTTTATCAGAGAAGTACTCAAAGATCTTTGTTCCAATTCTAGGGGCATCACTAACTCATGACCTGAAATAGGATGCCCAAGCCTAGTTTTTTCTCTGTTAAATGTAAAAGCCCTCTGCCACCACTAACTTTCCAAGTGATCCAGGAGGAACATGATGTAATAAGCGCGGTCTAGCCTTGGTAAACAAAGTACAGTGGAACAGCTAAGAAGAAAACCAGACAAACTGAACAAAACCTATAGCATGGGTTCATTCAGAGTTGAAAGTTCTCTCAATTGAGAGTTAACCTCAATTCTTCAGTCAGCTCTCTTCTATTCCATCCAATTGGGCACAACCTGGGCTGTGAATTTTCCTCAGTAACTGATTAGCAAGAGGCACTGTTCTCTTTCCTCTCCACTTCCTATTACACGTGGATGAAATCAGTGCAGTTATTACTGGGTCCCTCTACACAAGATTGACTCTCATGGCCTTTATGGAGTCCAGCCTCTTTTAAGCTCATCTGAAAATTTTCAATCAATCAACTGTTTTAAGATTGCCTACACAGTCAGTTCTAACTGATTGAGAGATGTCAAATGCTCCAAAAACTCTTCTCTGTCATTCACTTTCTATTTCAGGCAAAATCAAAGACGTTTCAGAAATATGCAAAGGAATAATTCTTAAAAAACAGAGCTTTATACATTGATAAACTGATATTTTGGTAAAATTGTTAGCTAATCACATAAGGCTATTTGTTATTATTATCATGATGATGATGATGTAATCCTACTGACCATATTTAGAAGAACTAAGACCTAAAAAAAGAATATGTTATTTACTTCAAATATATAACTTGCTGGTTTGATTATCTCAACAAATTAGGTTAACCAGGTTTTGATTTACGCTAACGTTATCTGCTTGACCTCTGGCTTGCTTGAGTACACTGTTGTAGTGTCAGTCCCTCTCCTTGAGGACTGCCCACCCTTTCTCTGATTCTCCTCCTCTCTTTCTATGTCTTCTTCCAAGGCTGACCCCTCCTGACAACATGTCCAAAGTTTCTGAGATAGTCTCATCATTTCCCCCCTGGGAACACCCTTCCGGAGATTGTGAGGATGGTGTGAACAGATCTGTTGTTCTTAGTGTCTGTCACTAGGAGTAACGGACAACTTGACCACACGCAACAACCTTCCTGAGGTTAGAATAGCCGCCCAGAACATCACTGGTGGTTTGTCTCAGATTTAATGTATCTACAGCGTAATCCATAATGAGTTGTGCTGTCAGTCTGCAGCTGGCCAGTGTGAATTCACCAGCGACTCCAAGGAGAGAGAAGGGCAGTTACTTCCCACCAGATTTACAGAAAACTGTCTGGAAGCTCCGCTCTTAGTGGGCTTCAACTAGAAGACAATGGGCTGTTGAGTGAAACTTAACCTAATACATAAATAGGGGCTGTTTATTTGGGGGGGAAATGTACTTAATAAGGAATAGTTTGGGAACCATAAGCTCTGAGATTTCCTCCCATGAAGATTTACAGCTTTGGAAATATGATGGAGAATCCATACATATCATAACTGAGTTGGAGTTTTTTATTTTGAACTTAACCAAAGTCAGACACACTACGGTATATCTGCTGAGAAAACTGAGGAGGCAAACATGTGGAAAGGAAGTTTTCTCCTAAGTGAACCCTTTCTTCTTTCACAAACATAACCTTTGTACTATCTAAATGTTTTCATGGCAACGTTGTTCGAATTTTTCTAGAATTTTGTTTTCAACTACCTGCAAGTATTATTAAAATAGTCAACATGAAAATGAGATTTCACGTATTGGAGTCTAAAGGGTATAGGGAGGCCTTGGAGCGTAGTTGTAAGGAGTCATGCTGAGAACTCCAAGGTAGGAAGTTTGAATCCATTAGGTGCTCCCTGGGGAAAGATAACAATCTCCTCCCGTGTGATTTATCACCTTTGGAAAACAGCTGGGGGTCAGTTATGAATTGGTTGTGACTCACCTGTCCACAGCAAGCCTTTACTTTTATTCTTTTGACATGATGTTTCACTGACACTGTAAATGCAAATCGTTACTACATTCATTTCATATTGTTGTAATGGATATTGTAGAGCTAAAATCAAGATGTCACCAGGACCATGGTTCCCCCAAAGGCTCTAGACAAGCTTAAAGTCACTTGCCTTTTCCATGTCTGTGGACTGGCTACGTCCCTAGCGGAGCTTCCGCTTTCTTCATTTCCAGCAGGAAATTAAAGCCAGCTCGCTGCCACGACGTCCACTGGGACACCTGGCAACTCCCCCAGGGCTTCCGAAGAGACAACTCTTTCCAGAAGGAGACTGCCTGTCTTCTTCTTATGGAATTAAAACTGCTGACTTCTGGGTTATCAGCCTGTTTAACTCTCGTGATGGTTTAGAAATCTGCTTCTGTCGTCTCCGCTTCTTCTCTAACTTGTTTTTCTCCTTTTTGATTTTGTTTCCTTGTGCATAAATGAAAATCATCCGAGTAAGTTAGGATACTCTGTTCACACAAGATTCCGAAGTTAATTACATCTTCAGTGACCCACTTTGCATGTATGATAACATATCCACAGACCCTGGGAATGAGGAGATGAACATATTTCATGCGCCCTTATCATTCTTCCATACATCCAAGGCCCTTCTTTAAATTTCTACATACATTATCTCATTTCAGCTTTTGAGAATTAGTTAAGAATTAGATGCTGAGAAGGGATTCTTGTCTTTCTTAGAGCCTCCAAAGGTCCTCGTTCTATGACTGCTGTGCAAGGTTGTGATTTTCATCTTCGTCCTTCATGCTCCCAAATTTTGACTCCAAATTTTGTTGAGATTTTTTTTCTTCCTAAAATGGAATCATGACTCCTCTTGTCATCTTTCAGTGTGACTATCCATCGCCCTCCCCAACCACCACCACCACCAAGAGCAGAGACTGAGATAAAGGAAAACTAGACTGTTCATAGCTTGTCTCCAGCTTCTTGTCTTGAAAAATTAGACATTCATCTCTTACATTTACCATTTACTTCGTTGTTTTCATGTGCTTTCCTATTTGCCTTCCTCATGTTGGACCTAAAGTCAAATCCCTTTTTTGTCTCTACCACTTGCCAAAATTTCCCCCTTTTATGTATTCACTGTTACTAATTTTCCCTTTTGTTTTCATAGTAACTAGGCTTCCCATCCTTTTCCTTAGGAGAGTATTGCATAATGGAGAGACCA